ATGTCCTTCAATTGGGAAAGGGTTAAAAAATTTTGAAACATCAATTCTATGGTAAGGCATGTCACTGTTAAAAAGAACGGGGTAGGTCTACAGGTATTAAGGTGAAAGGATGTCTAAGATTTCCACTACTGAGATAAGCGAAAACGCAGAACAGCACGTGCAACATAATCCCATTTGTTACAAGACGGGACCACAAATTTTGCTTTTACAAAAACACATTGTATACAGGTAAATGCATAGGAAAAGATGAGGAAGGCTAAACTCAAGATTGTTGACGAGACCAGGAAGGGAAGCTACTGGGGATGGGAGGCAAGAGGATGAAGAGGATCTTTTCCTCTATGTTCCTCTACGTTGTTTGAAGCTTTATGAACAACCACGTATAACGTATTTCTTTTGTGTTAAAAATTTCTAAATTAAAAAATTAAGTAGTGCTCTTTCTGAACCCATTACTAGAAAAAAGATAGGATTTCTATCCCTTTTCTTTGCAGAGATATCCCCCATCCTGAAACAGGAAATTAAAGTGAAAATAAAAATATTCAGCCTGCACTAGTCTTTTGCCGTCCTGGGCCTTTCTCTTCTTTTTCCTTCTTCTGACCAAGGTCAATGGAGGAAGAACTTAGACCCCAAGCCAAAGCACCTGTTTGACATCACCTATGTGAAGGTAGAAGGCAAAGGGACAGGAGAGGGTTCAAAGGTCATGGGGAAATAACAAATCCATGCCTCAAAGGCTCCAGTGTTCGGAGAGTCCCGGCCAGCTGAGCAGCAGCTGCAAACAGGAAGTCGTGTGTGTTACGGCAACTTGGACTCACACCAGCAGCTGTCCTGCTGCAGTTTGAAAAACCCAGTGTCCTCATTACGTACTCTTTGATTTCCTTATATTGCATACCTGTGTCTTTGCAAAGCGGAACTAAACTCAAGTAAAACTGTAGACAAGAACTGGACTAAAGGGAGGAAAGCAGCAATATTGCCAGAGGTAAGGGGGGAGATAAAGACTCACCTGGTGCTCAGGTCGCGGTCCCTGCCTGCCATCCTCAGGGCCCGGTCTCCGATCCCTGCACTCTGCCTGGCCTGGGTCCAGGGTAACTGCCAGGCTCTGGGCAGAAAGTTGTCCAATAGGCTGACGTACCCAGAGAGGGCTCCGCCCAAATGGGGAAAAGAGAAGTGAAAGTATTTATTCGAGCTCATGACGTGCTGTGGACACTGTGTCTCTCCTGCTTCACTCCAAGCGCTTCTCAGCTTTCCTGAAATGTGGCAGAGGGATGGGGAGACGCCCCAGGCAAGGCCTGGAGGACCAGGGAAGGAGGAGCCCAGGACGAGCAGGACCAGCTCCCAGGAGCCCACCTGTTTCTGCAAAGGACAGAAAAAACATCCACTCAAACCCAAACTGTCCCGGGCGGCTTCTGCCTTCCAAGAAGGTGGCAAGGTTACTGGGAGGGGGGGTAAACTCCATGTTTCCTCTTCCCCCTGCTGAGATGGCTGGGGCGGTGGGGGAAGGTTGGAGGGAAAGCCAGAAACGTCAAACCTGTCTCAGGCCTTCAAATTGATCCATAGACACAATGCAATCCTATATAAAATCACAATAAGATTTGACAAGCTGATTTGGAAGCACAAACGTCCAAGACACTTTGGAGGGAGAGGAGAAGAATATTTACCGTGTATTAGGAGTTGTTGGGAAGCTGTCACCACTGTGACAGTGTAGGACTGGCACAAGCAGAGGCAATCACAGATCAATGGCAGAGAAGAGAGAACACAGAAAAGCACCTGCCTATATGGCAACTTGGCTAACGAAAAGGATAACACTGCAAATCAATGGGAAAACCACTGTTTAATCAATTACTCGCGTCCTCAGAAATATCGTTAAGAATCAGAGCCTTCAAAGTGTAGCTCAGATGGGAAACAGTTTGGGCTCAGACAAGGCAGGAAATGTGAATAAAAAATTTCATTCAGATTATGACTGAGTAAGTGGGAAGTTCGGGGTGAAGCACAACAGCCACGGCAGGCACAGGAGAGAACAAAGGAACACAGAATGCAATCTAAGGATGATAAGAAGAATATTCCCACAGTGCCTAATGCCACACAAAACCTAAATAAAGCAAGAACCCATCCTACTAAGTGAAGTATCCCAAGAATGGAAAAACAAGCACCACATGTACTTGCCATCAAATTGGTTTTAACTGATCAACGCTTATGTGCATATAT